CCACGCCAGTTCGGGACAATGGAATAGCCCTGCGCCAGTCAAATCAATCAATGGGCCTTCTTCAGTTCTCTTCCAGATCCACTCAGTGGTAAACCTCCTCCCCCGAAATTATTCTTATTGCTCTCACGCTTCCCTGAATTGAGGCACTGAGGGAAAAGGGGCTTTTTATAAAGCTCAATATTTCGTAAATTAGCGAAGGGAATATAATTTTAACAATGTCTTATACTATAGAGTTTATAGATGTGGATTTGTAGGTTTCTTAGGTTTGTTTTTAAGTTTTATCTTATGTAATCAATTTTCATCTCATCATATGTTCTTATATTTACCCTTGTTTTATTATCAAAACTATGATATCTTTTCTTGAGTCTCTCAAATAAAGACTTGGGAATTATAAACAAAAATAAAATATACGAACTACAAATACAAATTTACCAAGAGCATTTATTATATGAATCAGAGACTGTACAATATAGATTTTATCTCATTTCAATTCAAACTATATTTAAAAATTATAATCAAAAGAGATTTTAATTCTCTTCTCACATGAAATTATTTTCCAACAAAATTATAGCTCGTCATATAATGTCTTATATCAACCTTGAATATGTATTAGATCTTAGAAATCTATTTTTAGATCTCCAGAATCTTGGGAATACTTGGGAATTATAGAGTAAATTAATATATAGGTATATATATATATACTAAATTATTATAATTATAGAGCGGAAGGCCTCGGTAGCCATTGCTCTTTAACCTTTGTTAACTTTTTAGTTTTTAACTATTAGTTAGCATTAAATAAATAAATATTATAATTATACAAAAATGCATTACCTGATCTCAAAAGAACCCCTTTTTCCCACAGTGCAGTTATTATTCCTGTTTCCGGTTCAGGATTTTCGTTGATTTCGCCTTGTCTTTGAGTCCGCCAAAGAACTGCGGCGTCTCCATGACGCAACGTGCCTTCTGCCCTCCACCGCTGGTAAATTGATACTTTTTTTCGTTTTTGGGATTCGCATTTTTTTGTCAGGGCAAAGTAAATGAAAAAATGCGAAAGGAACCAAGGGAGCGGACCGGGACGGGACGGGACAACTTGAGATGCGAGCTGGTAGCCGGCGAGAGATACCCATCCATATTCATAATGGCACACTAATTGGATCTTAATTCTGGCATTTTATTTGATTACAACGGACCGAATTATGTCTGATGAATTGAATTATGGAGTGACGGCTAACACAGATCACGAAAAGTGTTGGCGACATTGACACTTGCTAAATAAATTTGCGAAATTATGCAATTAAAAAACGTAAAGAGAAAAAGGGGGACCCCCTTGTAAATTATACATTTCCTCTTCCAGGAAGTAAATTAATATCAATCTAAGCCATAAATTGTCTCATTTTTCTAATTTTCCAGTATCCATATTCATCCGCCGCCAGACCGCTGGCCAACTGTTTCTGATTAATGAATTCAGATTGAATTACACGGAGCGCAACCTGTATTGGAATAGTTTCCTATTTTCCTCCCCGACCCAGCCAGCTTTCCCGGCGCACTCATGGAAACGAAAGCAGAGAGGGGGGAAATGTGGCCAAGTCCTACTGCTTTAATTGATTTGGAAACAAAAGTTTTGCCTGGAAAAAAAGTTTTTCCTTTGCTACAACGGTCATTTGTGTACAGGCCCTTAAACAGCAATTTATGTGCTTAGCATTCGTTACCTAATGCCGATAAATTAGCCAAGGCTACAGGGACAAGTTCAAGTGCTCGACAGATGAAATTTAATTAGCAATCACACGGCTGTCCAAAGATTGTGTTGCTTGCAAGTAGCTGATGGATGGATGATCGATGGATGCCACTTAACCAGATGATTGAGTTCGTAGAGTCGAGCTTGTTAGTGGAGCAATAACGAAATGTTTGATCTATTTGCAAGGGTATCAAACAAAAGCATCTTTAGCGAGGTAAAATAAATTTAATGATTGCATATTTCTGACTAGTGTTTTTTTATAATAAGTTATATTCTAGCTTAGGCACTAGGAACATAATACAATAAATACAAATTCAATTCCAAATATGTCTGACTTAAATTTCGAGACGATTAATTGTTATATTAACCAAAAATAAATAACAAATTATTTTGTATTATTATTTTTTCTGATTATATAATCAGAAGAGCGAAATAATGATCTCATTATGTGAAGGTGGGCAACGAAGAAGATATAAAATGCTTGAAAATTATTGCCCAACGATGTGAATATTTTGTGATTGTACCCTTCAAAAAACAGGATTTTAAGCAAAGCAAATTTAATTAATAAATTTTTAAGAAAACTATAAAAAAAATGTATATACGAATTTCAGAAAAATCATGATGAAAACATATATATGTAATATAATAGAAAATACCAAGAAGATTATAATATGTTGGACTAAATTTATAAAAAAGAGTCTATAATAAATAAAGGTAATATCAAGTCACGAATTATATGTATCTAGCCTTATCAATTTCAATGTATGCTCTAAATTTCTTAAATTTAATTAAAAACAGAAAGGTAATTGTAATTCCTATACAACATTCCACAAAATAATCAGCTTATTTTGTCCTAGAAAAATCTGTGATCCCAAATTCAATAATTCCATTAAGCGCATAATCAATATTCTGCCACCACTTATTTTACCGCCCCTTGTGCTGTTAATCTAGCCAAGTGTGAATTTAATTATGCCCTTGGGCCCAGGACCAACATACAGGAACCACAAAACGCTATACGGCGTAAGGTTGTCGCAATGAATTGCGCAAAATTTCCCAAAACTGCCTGGCAAATTGCCAAAGAGACAATTTAGATGAAGCAGAGCCGTCTGAACTGGATTAACTCATTTAAATACAGTGGTAAAAGCTTTCCGTTAACTTCCAAGATAAGGGGAGTAGAATTCTTTGGGGTGAGAGCCGCAGAATGTGCCTGAAAGATTTATGGGCAATGTTCGAATCGACTGCTTTAATTGAACGGCAAGTGATCGGATTTATGGGTCTTTTTTTCAAGTCACTAATTGATTGAAAAGCTTGTGAGCAGAAAATCACTATAAAATATTCAATTAAAATCAATTCATTGGAATGCTAAGCCTTCAGGAATTTTACGCCCTTCATCAGTTATTTTTTGGCTTATTAGAGTCCTGGGTCTTTTACTCGAAAACTTGAAAACTTTTCGCCATTTAATGAACTTAATGTATTTTAATTAACTTAATAAATTTCAGAACTTCTATAAAACAACTTTTACAAAATTGTTTTAACAACAAAATATTAACGAATTAAAAGAGTTGCTTATAACCAGAGTTCGCATGAGTTGACCTGATTTAAAAGGAATGAAAATAAGTGCTCATGTCGTAAGTTCGCTATTGCTCTCTGACTTTAAGTCCGAATTAATTTTATTCTCTTGAGACTCTCTTGCTTTTCGGAGAGATCCTTAGGATATGCACTTATGTACGTGGGTTCCTTATTTCAAACTCATTCGCTCTCTTTATCTTTCTCTCTCTTTCTTCCACGATTTATGCAATGTACAAGCAGTTTTCTGTCTCCATTTACAACTAAGCGGAATCTCAAGAGTAAGGAAGGTTGTGATAAATTACAAAATTAAAATAACATTTAAAATTCAGTATCCAAAGAATAACCGAAGTAGACATAAATAAATAAATTTATATTTTTCAAAAGCTGAATAATAAATGTGAAAATTATGTGCTAAACCAGTTGTTGTCCTTCCGAAAACATTGAGAAATGTCCATGTTGTACTTCCAATCCAGGGCCTGTATTATGTGTTCCAACCACTTTGGGATGATGTTATAACTTGCGAACCATTTGAAATGAAATATTTATTATTATTGTTATGCCGTGCAGCAGCAGCAGCATATGGGAATTATCCCATGTGCGATGAGGAGGAGGATGAGAAGGACTATCTCTACCTGAGGGAAAGGCGAGTACTTACCTAAATGATTTATAAATATGTTCATTTAATGCGCTAAAAGCCGGAGCGACTTGGACTGGTTTTCATATGGGAAGTGTAGTAATCAAGGTACTAACGCCCTTGTGTGTGGTTTCCGCTTCTTTCTTTTTGTGTCCAAACCGAGAGAGAAGCTTCTACTAAACTTCTGCGCCAAGGGGCTCTAATTATTGTAATTGGAGTTTTCGGCTTAAACCGCACAATCACATAAATTATGGGGGACGACGATGATAGCCCCAAGATAACTTTCAGGTGGGAATCATATGTTAATTGTTTTCGGAGCAAAGTCTCCATTTTGGTGGTTACCTCACCTCGCCCACATGGGCATATAAATCTCTTGAGTGGGTTTCCAAAATATATTCTCAACCAATCTCAACCCTCTCCGGAAGCATGTCCTTGCTTGCTGACTTTCTTGCTTTCGTGCTTTCATCCCTGTTGCCTTTTTGCTTCGTCTGCTTATCTTATCGCCCATTCATTATGGGAATTACACAGGAGGGGATTCTTTTGGGAGACATTCGTGAAAATTGGCAATTTTTTTTTTTTGTGAAATCGGAAACTTTTTGAAGCGGGAAAGCAGATAAAGGTAACAGGCAGCAGCAAATAACAAAGGCCACAAGAGTTGCCAATCGGTTTTTATTGAATTCTTCAAAAGGCGGCAAGGAAAATGCAAGAAAGCAAGCAAGCAGCAATCCCGGATTGTATCCGCATCCGCGTCAGCGAGAAACCCAATATAATCTCTTATTTTTTCCTTTGTCTCTTCAGGTCCGAAAAATGTCCAAAAGGTTCGAACTCCGCCCGGTCGCCCGTCGACGGGCATTTTTCATTTTAAAGACATTTTGACATTTATTTTTCGGAAGGGAATTGGCAGATTAGAAACGCTCGAAACGCAGCGGTCGGTCCCCGGGGAAGGTCGACCTTTGACCTTGGCCAGTTGATTAGCATTGGGATTGGGCCATTCCCATTCCCTTTCATTTCAGGCGAGCTAAAAGTCATTGGGAATTATAGGAAGTAAAACGACTTGAACGATTTGTTTTGCATAAATTAGATTTCTATTTCTCGACTTGATTTGCTTTTAATGTAGAAAAGAGATTATACAAAATATTTACACTTAGATTTAAGCTTAGCTTAGGGGTAATTAGATAAATATATATAATTCGTATAGCGTGCATATATATATATCGATTCTGAATCGCTGTCTTATATCCTCCTATTGTTCTTTAATACAATTCAACATCAATCTACAAATATTTATGTTTATATTCCCATTTTATAAGCTATATATATTTACAGAGCGCCGTTAACACTCGGATGGATGTATAACACTTGCCGGGGCGAAGGGGCAGCCACCACCGCCCTGGGATTCAGGGGTGGATTCTCCCCTTGCCACCGTAATTAGGGCGAGGAATTGGTTCTGGTCGCGAGCTCTCTGGCCGGACGACGAACAAAAAAGGGTAACGTTAATGAATAACTAAAACAAGGTCTTTAAAAATTAATTAGAGCTACGTGGGGTTGTCTGTCCTGCATCTCCTCCTTCTCCCTCACTTGCTCTTGAGGGAGGCTGGGGCAGCTCCATTGCTGGTGGCCGCCGTCTGATGCCGTGCACTCCCCGCAGCTCCGCTGTTGCCGCCCCCGCTGCCTCCCTTGGCCTGTGGCGCTGTAGCACCCGCCGTTAGTTTTCCGGTGGGCACTGGCGATGTCTTTGGACTGGCTGCTTGCGGTACGAGTCCTCCCGGACTGGGCAGTGTCACGGTGGGCAGCATAGGCATCACTGGCTTGGGCTCCCCCTCTGACGGACCTCCTCCTCCACTGGCAGTGGCTGCACTCTTCAGCTTCTGCAAGTAATCGTTGAACACCTCGTTGCCGGCACGCTGCATCCGCGAGAGCTGCTCCATCAGATACGCCTGGTGGTAGTTGTACATCGCCGGGGACAGGTGACCCATCTGGGCAAAGTTGTACAGCATATTCGACTGGTTCGCCTGGGCGGCCTGCGCTGCCTGTGCTGCCTGCGCCACTTGCGCACGCATCAGGTTCTCCTTGAGGAAGTTGCTCAGGTCCAGTTGACCGGAGGCAGCAGCAGCGGCACTTGCGCTAGAAGCAATGCCAAGCGGGGTGGTCAAACCGGGCAGACTGGGCAGGCCGGGATGACCCATCATCTTGCCCACAGATGGCAGAGATGGTGTCGGCGGTGGCGGCGTGGGATTCTTTGATGCCTTCTTTCCCTGCTGCTGGTGGTGCTGATGCTGCTGTTGGTTCTTTTGCGGTGGACTGAGCTTCTGCTGCTGTTGCTGCTGCTTCTGTTGTCCCGGCTGCGAGGCAGTGGCTCCTGCATTGGGTGACTTCTTGCTGGGCGCCACCTTCTTGCCAGGAGCAGCGGGATTTTGTGGTGCATTGAATGGAAAGCCAGGAGCCAGCGTGGGCAACTTGGGCGCCAGCTCGGGCATTGCATTCTGTCGCGGCAGAATGGGCCGGAATTTCTTGGCCGCCGAAGGATCACCATTCTGGCTGGCAGCTCCAGAGTTGGCTCCGCCCGCAGCTCCGCCCTTGGGCGACTTGTTCTCACTGGCCGTGGGCGAGTGGCTGCCAATTTGGGCGGCATTCCGTTTCTCCGGACTCGGCGTCTTCTTGTCCGCCTGTGTGGGCGTCAGCACAGGCTTCAGGGGAGTGGCCTTCGCGGGCGGAGGCGGTGATGTCTTGGGGGGAGTGATTACACGCGGAGCACTGGGCGGTGGGGGCGTCGTGGTGGCCACTTGTGGCAGCTGTGGCGGCGTCATGCGCGACATCAGATGCTGGGGCGAGGGAATCGCCTTGGAGGGCGGCGGTGGCGGCAGCTTTATGGGCAGAGGGGCTGCCACTGGACCGGGCGACTGGCGCTTCTGCTGCGCCTCCTTGGCGGCCTGCACCTGCTCCGACGGCAGCTGGTCGGGTAGCTTTACGATCTCAATGTAGTTATTGACCGGACTCTTGTGCTTGGGATGCTGGCCATTGTTCGGCGACGATGGATCTCCATTATCCCGCGAAATTGTGATGGACAGCGACGAGGGAATGTTGATGTTGCACGAGTTGAGTAAAGACTTGACCTTCACCTGCTGCTTCTCTGGTGCATCTTCACTGGGACTGGCACTGCGCGGATACAGATTACCATTGCCGTTGCCGTTGCCAGCAGCTGCTGCTGCTCCTGCTTGCAGCGAGGATGCACCGGGTGCGCCTTGCGCCGGATTGGTGTTCTGATCCGATTTCGTGGGTGGCGAGGGAAACAGGCCCGATAGCGAGCCAGCACCACTGCCGCCGCCCAGCATGTTCTGCAGGTAGCCAGCGGCCGAAGCTCCTCCATTGCCAGCTCCCGAATTGGCCACAGCCGCTGGCTTCGGTGTGTACTTGTAGGTGGGCATCGTGGGTATATTGTAGCTGGGCACGTACTGCGGCGAACTTGGCGAGTAGATGGGCGAGTTGGGGGTGTACATGGGCGTGCGGCACCCAGGGGGCGCTTCCTTGCCCTTGGATTTGCTGGCATTGAACAGAGCCAGATTGAGATAGTTGTTGGAGCTGTTGTTGTTTCCTCCCTTATTGTTGTTGTTCAGAGGCGGCATCGGTTTGCCAAGGTTTCGGTTGCCCTGCGAAGAAGCGGCTGATACTCCTAGTCCTCCGGTCACTGGCGCTGGCGGTGGTCCCATCTTGGTAACATCGCTTTTCGGTCCATAGACATGCGACTTTTGCGCAGTAGCGCCTCCCGCTCCGCCGCCAATCGACTTGATTTCGGTGCCCGCGTCCTTGAGCAGCCTATTCACATCGTTTGGTATATTGGCAAAGGGATTCGGGCGCGATGCCTTGGGCAGAATGGGCTGATACCGTTTAGCAATGGGCGTCCTGTTGCCAGGAGCCGACATCTGCATGCCGGCATGATGGTGCATCGGCGAGGGCGGTGGCGTTGCAAACTGCGCAGCTGGCTGGAGCTTGCGGGGTGCCAGCATCGGTGGCTTCGAGGGCGGTGGCATCAGCGGTTTCTCCACCTTGGGCGTGGCGGCTGCAGTCGGCGAGTTGCCATTGGTGGCTGGCAGGCGTATTTTAAAGTCCTCGCGCGGAAGTGGCGGCGATAGCTTTGGCTTCTTGGACACTGCCTTTACCGGTTCCTTGCTCTTGCGCTTCGAGGAAGCGATGGACTTGGGCGGCATGCAGCTGGGCGGCTTCATTAGCATGCTGTCCTCCACATTACCCTTGGATTTCGGTGGCGATTGCTGCTGCAGCTGGACTACAGATGAAGGCGGGGTAATAGCTCGACTGTTGGTCATCCGCTCCGGCGACTCAACCTTCACCTTGATGGGCGTCAGGGCAAAGGACTTGAGGAACTCCGACTTGGGATCCTCCAAGAAAGCGCCGCTGGTCACGCGTGGACTTAGCGTGCTAACGCCACTTGGACTGAGAATGCGTTCCGTGCGAATGGTCAGGGGTGGAACTGTCAGCGGGCTGGGACTCTTGCGCTTGCGCTCCCCACTGGAAGACGAGGAACCGGAGGAGGATGAAGTGCTCGGCGAGGACTTGGGGCTGCTGCCGTCCTTGTCCTTCTTCTTGGAACGCGACTCCTTCTCGGGCTTCAGCGGCTTGACAATCTCCCGTCGCTCGGGATCGGACATATTGATAATGGTCACGCTGTTCTGCTTGGACAGATCGATCTTCAGCTTTATATTGGGCTCCGAGGGTGAAGAGGGAACGGGAGTGGGTGGAGAGTTCTTTGAAGAGTGCTTGGAGCTTGCCTGCGGCGAGTGGCTCTTATCGCGCTTCTCCAGCATACTCCGGTTGAGCAGGAGCTTTAGGATTTCCGGTTTGGGTGTGGGCTGCGGGACCTCCATCACCTCTTTGATCACTTCCTGCTGTTCCACCTTAATAGGAGCTGCCTGTACAGGCTCAGCTTCCACCGGCACAGGAGCAGTTTCCATTGGCATTGGCTCTTCTACTTTCTGCACCAGCTTCTCCAGTTTCAAGGGCACAACCCGACGAGGTGGAGCTGGTTTCACCAATGGCTGAGGCGACTCATATACGCGATAGTAGAACCGCATGGGCGCATCCCGCTTCCACGTGTAGATGTAGGCAATGTCCATCAGCGTGTAGTAATCCAGCAGGACGATTGTCTTGACCTTGTACATAATGTCGATGCTAAAGCGCTGGGCATCGATCTCGAACTTGTCGTAGACGAACTTCTTTAGGTGGCTCACACGGCACATGGCCGGACATTGAAGGTAACGCGGACGCAGTGTGTCCATAACTTCCGATTCCGACTCGGCTTTGAGTTCACTGTGAAAGAGAGGGGGAAAAGGTAAAGAAAATCATAAATTAGTTAGGGTAAATAATATTTTTAAGAAAGAGTTATCAAGTTTAATGTCAGTTAGTTTCATTGAGAGAGTTGTCCTTAGAGCTAGGTCTTGGTACATACCCCAATTCCGCGTACTCCAACGACAAGGACATATCATCCGAAGGGCTAAAGATTAGATGCTCCGTGTCATCTCCACGCTGCTCTGGCGTGGCCAAGGCCGCGTCCTCGGGCCGATCCTTGTAGAAGGCCCTTTTGCGCATCAGCTCCCGCTCATACAAGCCCGGCACGAGCTTATAGACAATTGCTTGGAGCGTGGTGTCCGATCTGCAAGATAAGAAGAGAGAGAAGCCAATGGATTAGGAAAATACCATTTTAGGGGTTGGGCTGGATTGGAAGCATGCCCAGCGAAATGGAAAAGAAATGGGAACAAACAAAAAGAAAAAAAAGTCACCGGTAGCGCAGCGGATGAGGACACACAGAAGCCAGAGTAGTCGTCGTCGTCGGGACAGGACTTCCTTGGCGCGGAAATGAGGGACACAAGGGGCGAACAAATTAGGCGGCAGATGCAATTTTCTATTGCTTCAATGGCACGCAACAAATATATAAAGAGGAAAAGGCCAGGGGAGGGGAGCAACAACTGCTTCATGGCATGCGCTGGTGACGATGATAGTGGTGGATAGTAGTGCCTGCTGCCTTGACGGTGGTGGTGATGGTGGTGGTTTCCCCCAGACCCTCACAGAGACAGCCATCGAGGTACCAAGAGCAACAGAGCAAACGCTGCGCCTTAAGACCTCTTTAAGAACATCTCCGGGCCGCAGGCAGTCGCCAGGCGCTCACTTCAATCATTTTCAACCAAAATAACCAAACGGAACGGAACGCGAAGCCCGACAACCGAAAAAAGGTATTTCATGAATAGAACCAAGAGATGATGGAGAGAAAAAAAGAGTCAGGGAGGTAAATATACATGTATATAAGACTTAAGAAAAGGCCAAAGCATCCGGAGAGTAGGGATCTGGGAACGGCGGCGGCTCACATTTACATAGAGAGCCAGCCAGCCCCTGGGGCTATAAATTTATCGATCATGTGCCGCGAGCGAGCGGAAAAATGTGCTATCTCTAATAGATCTTTATAAGAGGGACCGATATTAATTAAACCATGAAGGGCAGACGATATATACGAGGGTATAAGCGATAAAACAGTTAAACAGATGTCAAAACCTGATAAATTTTGAAACTATTTTAGTGTTAGATAAGTTTAAGTCAGTTTAAATTATCTAAAAAATAAGTTCTATGATATTATTAAGCTTATAATTATGTAAATTAATCAGGAAACAGTCAAAACTTTAATCAAGGCTTTATTTTGATCCCCTTTTTGAGTACCCTCAACTTATCGTCTGCAACTTAATTTAGAGCTACAACTTTTCAGCTCATCTTATCCGCCAATCAATGACAAAAAACCCGTTTTTCTTTCTTAACAAACTTAATTTATATCTTTTTAGTCAACCAAACTTTTTATTCGCTGTCCTCTGGCTGGTTTTCGTGCCCCTACTACCTCACTCCCCGTTGTCGGTGGCAAAGGATTGAAAATAAGTAAAGGAGTCTTAAAAAAAGGAGTATTATATATAAAAAAAAGAAGAAGGAATCCCAACAGAAGCTGTCACTGCTCTCTCGCTTGCTCCCTTGCTACTCTTTCAAGTCAGATGTTGTTTTATTGTATTTATTGTAGTTGCTTCTCCTCTTGTTCATTATTAAGGTTCTTATTGTTGTTGTTGTTGTCAGCTGCTTGCCAGTCAGACATCGTTTTAGCCGTCGGCAAATTCGAGGCAGCAAGCGAACGAGCACAAGACCCGCCCGTTAATTATCCCAGCCGCACTTGGATTTGCTTTCAGCTTTTCTTGGAAATGCGTGTGCCTCTCCGTTGGCCTGTCTGCTGCAGTTTCTTCTTTCATATTACTTAATTTCTCTTTATTTGTTTCTCTTTTTTTTCGTTTTTTCTGCAGTTTTATATCAGATGATTTTTGGGGGCTGTTGAACAATATGGCCGGCCCCTGACACACATACACAAAGAAGAGTCAGCCGAGTCAAGTAAAAACTTTTAGCTTTAGTTTATTTCATTTATTTATCTTTTTTTTTCTTGTGTTTACCTTTGTAAAGACAAGCTTAAAAGAGCAGAGTTTTCTTTTGTGTTCTTTTCCTCCTCCTCTTCCCCTTTCCTGTTCTGTTTTTTGTGGGCTAAACAATAAACTTTTGCAATAAATTTAATTGGAGACTCGAGACTACACCACTACTACTACCAACAATAACAACAATACTACTAAAAATTCATGGAAAACATGGCCAGCGGCGCACAAAAGGCACTTGTTTGTTGTGCTATTGCCCCCCGCGAAATCCCTGCTATATCTTTAGATATCCAATTTTACACAAAGAATAAAATATAGGGGTTTAAAGGTTAGATATTAATATCTTTAAAAGTAAAATTATTTGTTTCTAAGCCCCTAATAAGTATGTTTTATAAATAGCTATATATCGAAATAGTATCGAAATGGTATCGAAATGGTATCGAAATAGTATCGAAATAGTATCGAAAGTCTTCCAAAAGTTACTAAGCCATTGATGACGACAAGTTTGATGGTTTTAAAGCTCTGTCGGAAATGGGTTATGGTTCAATTAATCTTCCTTTTACAAAAAGTTTCCTTTTGACAAATGTATCACTTATGGAATATTGTTCACCTCTCTAAATGTTAATTTTTCTCCGTGTAATCCCCGAATCTGTCGAATCATGAGGCCAGCCACTACCACTTCACACCATTTGGCCAGCCAGCCAGCAAAGCTAGCAAGCAAGCCGAGCCGAACCGAAGCCGAAAAGGTTCATTCATTCACATTCACCTGCTCTTCATTTGCTCAGCCCACGATGATATTGCCGCTCTTTGAATTTGTATTCATTATCTCGTTCTGTGTGTGCCAGAGATTACAACGTGCGCCACGTGATGGAGATGGGAGATGGTAATGCTGGATCAGGGGCATGAGCAACGGGCAACGGGTGCCCGGCGGGTGGCTCTTTTCTATGCGGATGCCAGCAAAGTCCCCCATTAAAGTTGTGTGCGCGAGGGCCCAAGGCTTAAATAGATATATATATATTCGCTGGTTCAGCTCTCGGAACAGGAGACGTGTTTTTCATTACGCCCAGCGAAATGGAATGGAATGAAACGAATTGAAACGTGCCACAGCGACGAGGACGACGAGTGGCAGTTAGATATACGAGTAATCGTCTTCCCCAAAAGAAACTGCTGCTGCTGCTGCTGCTGCTGCTGCTGCTGCTGCTGTTGCTGCTGCCTGCCTGCTGCCCCGTCAAATAAAGTTAACCACTGGCAAAACTTTTACTCCAGGCCCTAAGAAGGTGCAAGTGGGGGCTGTCTTCCTCATCTCTGCCACTTTACTTTCGGGCCAAAGGTTTTTTGATCAAGTTTTGCGACTCCTCCCCCTAAGACTCAAACCACAATTACCGAGAACCATCGCCGCCGCCACCGTCACCGCCACAAACCACCAAAAAATGCCAAAACTTGTGTGTGGTCCTCCTCCAAAGAGTAAAAGAAACATTTAAGAACAAAACTACTTGGGTTCAGGTTCAGCAGGAGTTCTTCTATACCTTTCATTCCTTTCCCCTTGGGGAAAATCAATCTCGCAGCGAAAACTAAAACGAAATTACAGGAGCAGGAGTGAGTCTCCAAATTTCCGTGACGTTTTGTGTTTTGTGGGCGGGAAAATTGACTTTGGGAAGAACAAAATAAATTGCAAAAGGAGCTAATCTTGTACTGATTTTTTCATTATATTAGCCAGGCCCAGGCACCATCTAATAAAAAGTTGTAAGCCAAAGAAAATGCTGGAATTAATTTGTAAAATAAGCCGATTTATGCATATTTTTAGGCCTGATGTTAAAATGAACTTGGCTGTTAAATTTGAGGTGTAGCTATATCACATCTTGATTTGCAATTATTTAATATTTCTAACCGATTAAACCTATTTGATGTTGCTAATGCACAGAGTATTTGTACAACGAAATCTTGTTCGCTTTGATAAAGCTTTTTAGCAAATAAAATATTCAAGAAGCCCACTTTGCGAACAGCTTAAATGTACAGACGTACAATTTACTTTATCAGAACTCTCGCTCCCCATTAAAGATCCAGATACATCTTTGGCTTGTTGTGCGCCCCAACAAAGTTGTTCCCTTTGAGAACCACTAACCATTTACTTTCCAGAGACAGACAAACGACGAATCGCAGTCTCAAGCACCTCAGTAACTCAAACTCGCATTATGTATCTATCATCTAATCGCTTCTTGTCAAAGACAGACGATGAGGATGACGATGACGATGACGCTGAAGCTGACTCTGACTGTGACGGCGTTGGCAGTGACGATTCCGTGGGTTACTTGGTACTATTACGTATCTGTAAAGGGCTCTTGCGTACTCACTTGATGTTCGGCTTGGCGTTGTTGATGACCATCTCGCAGCGCGGGCAGAATCGCTCCTTTCTCAGGTGATTAATGAGGCAACTGTGGCAGACTGAAAAGGCACAAATAAATGGGAGAAAAAATATAAATTAGAGGGCTTTGCAAGCGAAGCACTGATATGTATGTATGTACGTGCAGGCAAATTACGATGTACTTTCGACATAAATAAATTCAACAGCTTTCAATGATTCGAATATTTATGCAAAACCACCCATCCACCCCACACCGGAGCAGAAAGAGAGGAAACGCAATCAAACCACCCACGTACCCAACAAAAAAGTACCCAAAGCCAACGGGGGGAAAGGCATTAAACCCAAACAGAACATAGGGAAAAACGAGTGAATAAAAAAAAGTGCTGCAAAAAGTTGTTTTGACTTTAATGTCAATGCCAGTGTCTGTCTGTCGCTGCTGCTGTTGCTGCTGCTCACCACTCCTCCACTTCACCCCGTCAAAGTCCTGCCACGCTACAACTGTCACCCAAAACAGACGGAGACGGAGACTCTGGGGGGGAAAAGCAGGAGTACTGGAGCACAGGATAGGAAAGGACAGACTGCTGCTGGGGGTCGCACAGCCAGTCAGTCCAAGCTGGCCTCGACGCCGCCGCCGCCTGTTACGCTTGTCCGTCAGTTTTGCTCCAATGCCGAAATAATAATAAAAAAAAGTAGGAGGGAGAAAAAAAAAAACAAAAACACAAGAGAAATAAAAGGAAAAATTCGCACAGAGCAATTCCGGGGGATTGGGCGGGCGCCTTTTGTGGGGTGGTAGCGTGCGCAAGCCAGCAAAAAAAAAAATTCTTGTACTGCCCGCCAAATGGCCTCGAATGGGAAGAGAGCACACAGTACCCAGTGTGCCCAGCATTATGCAGGAGATGTGCAGTAGCATCAGGACACTGCGAGAATAATATTTCAGATTTATAAAGAATTTAAGGTTATGATCTATTATATTTTACCAGTATTTATAACTATTTTAAATTACTTTGAGTTGTAGTTATAAAAAGTACTTGTAAAAATACAAATAATTTACAAGATCATACTTAAGATTTACATTTAAAAGAGTGCCGATCTTTTATCAATCCAATTTAGCAATTATAATGGCAGTTCTTCCATCTTCCAACAACCCCCAATTACTTGATTATAATATACCCTAATTTCAAATTTAATTTTCTCGCAGTGATCCGAGCACACGTTGCTGGCAGGCAGCTGTTGCTGCCACACAGTCCGGTTTCGCTTTGGTTTGCTTTTGCTTTTGCTTTTGCTGTTGCCATTTGGTGTTGGTATTGGCTTCGGCCAGGGTCCCAGTGGCAGCAGTGCCAGCAGTGCCAGGTCCGGTCGGTCACCGGTCCAGTCAGTCCCCAGTAAACAGCCCAGTCCCTTCCCCGCCGACCACCGGTCCGGTTCGGTTCGTTTGACAGTTAGATGGGACTCCCGGGTGCTCTACATACTACAATCTGGCATGTATCTCTGCCTGGGGTTTCTGTCCCTGGGCCGCCAACAGATTTAAATGAGCCTGACCAAATGTATCTTACTGTCCATTATCAACACATTGGTTTGCTAGATTTACGAACAACAACAGAAACAGGAACAGGAACAAGAAAAAAAAAAAAAAAAGCAATGCAAACTAAAGGAGCAAATGGGCAGCTGAATGGGAATTAACCTTACGCCGCAAAATAAAAGAGAAAAACTTTTAATGTCTGACTGTCTGGTGATGTATGGCCGCATTCGCTAGTTTTATGGCATTCATTCTTTTTGCACACAGAATGCTAATGTCGTGTTAATATCTATGTCGTTGATAACAAATCCCGGGGTAAAGCGTAAGCCCCGAGATTCGAGATCATCTCTCGCTCTTTCTCTCCCCGCCAACACAAAGTTCTCAACAGTTTCTCAATCAATCGGGCTAAGTACTTCGTGGCCGGGGCCATTAATGTGCCCACAAACTTATCGCACCCGGCAACATCTGCGTGTCGTCTGTGGCCCTCTTCCTCTACTCCCTGGATAATCCAGCTCCGCCTCCACCTCCTCCTTCTCATCCCTCAAGCGAACATAACTCATCGCGTCTAGGCAATTTTGCGGAACTGCTAGACAGCAGGAGGTTGGGTAAGAGGGATGCAGTGCTGAAAAGGGCGGGCAGGCTAGTATGATGCCCTAGTCGGTACTTGGCATTCTAATTAAGGCAAAGCGATTAGACGTTGCCACTAAGCTGAGTCTGTAAACAGTGAATGAAGTTTACAGGATAAAGTTCATAATTTCAAGACATTTTATGTGGAGCCGGGTATGGCATGGAATTTTAAGTTTGGAGCCTGACCACAAAGATGTAAACATTTTAAAGAAGAAATAATAATTTTTGTATGGTACGATAACCCCATAAAAGTTAATATAATTTTATATTCTTTTTTTTAAGCTTTAAAAAGATATTTAAGATATTTGGTGCTAGGGATAACCATTTCATTTGCATAATCTCTCAAATCTCCCAATGAACATTACACTTTCGAACGAAGGGGGCAAAAGTTTTCAGAACTAAATGTTCAACTTGGCAGCTAGTTTAAAGGTTATTGACTTTTCAGTAGTTTCCCAAACTACAAGATACATTTTTGATAGAGCTACAAAATGCGAGATATATGAACTTACAGGAGTGCAGACACTCGACGATGGTGGTGGCATTGATCAGATAGCCCTGACACAGGTGACAGATGATGTGCGGATTAACGGCCGTCAACAGTACGGGGCGTGGCCTTGAAGTTGTGGCCAAATCGGAAGTCGTTGTCGCCGTTGCCGTCGCCGCCTGCTGCTGCTCCTCCTCCAACTTCTCCTCATCCGCAGAGGCGCCACCATTACTGCTGGCCTCCTCAGACGCCGCTCTGGTCGTAGACCAGGATGAAGACGATGAGGTGGAGGAAGAGGACGAGAAGCAGGATGATGAGGTGGCCTCAACGGATTCCACAGTCGAGGCAGTAGCACTCGTGGCCGGTGGCGTTGATTCCTTCTTGATGTTTCTTTTTTCTAATATTGTTTTTGCCGCCTTGCCGCTGGTGGCAAGTTGTGCTGTTGCTGTTGCTGTTGCTGTTGCCGTTGTTGCTAATGTGTTTTCACTTTTTACTTTAATGCTGCTGGCAGCAATAAGTTGCTGTTGTTGCTTGTGCATTTTATCAACATTAGTTGGTGTTGCTGTTTTCTGAGACAAAGCCAGCTTTTTGCCATTGCTATTTGCATTGCTGACAGCGCTTTTGGAGGCTTTTGTAGCCGTCGCTGCTGCTGGTGTCGTTGATGTTGTAGTTGTCTTGGCCAACGTTGACAACTGCGACTTTTGTGTGTGAGCCATTGGTGCTGTTGCTCCTGTTGCTGCTGCTGCTGCCGCAGTTGTTGTTGTTGCCGCTGCTGGCAATATTGCTTTCGACTCTGGCGTCATCATAGTAATAATACTACTCTCGCTTTTGTTTTTCGCACAAGCGTCAGTCGTCAATCTGCGAAATAGATAAAAGTAGTAGTTGAAATTAAATGCGAATAAAGCCGAGCATGGAGGAAAATGGAAAAATAGAAAATGGAAATGAGCAGAGCTAGTCAAGAGAGTGTTGTGCTGGAGATTATAAATAAATCAGTGGCTGAGCGCTGAAAAGCAATAAGCTGTTAGTGAAAAGCTTAAAGCTTCGGTCTCCCGCCTGCAGCTCACAAAAGAATGGGGAGCAGAGCGGCGCCGGCAAAGGGAAAACATTTTCTGGGAAAACTTTAAGTGTTAATGAACTCGGTGGGATCGTGTTTTTGTCTGTGTTTCTTTAGTGCAATCTTTTCGTTTGCTCGATTCTTTGTGCTGTTTCTAGAGTTTTAAATATTTGCAAAATAAAAACTACTACTTAGTTAGAGTAGAACTTTACGACAAATAAAGGTAAAACGAGATCAGTCTTTCTATAGGGATGATAAATATAATGAATTTAATGTTTAAGAATTTTAATTGCATTAAAACTAATTATTAAGCTAATTCATCCTGTATTTTCAGTAGATTCCATAATTATTTATTAGTGTAAAAATAAGTACACAAGACATTACATATGTAGATCTATAACAAATCATCTAAATGTTAAGAAATACAACGCTTTTAAACATTTACTTAAATTAAAATTTCTTCACAACAAATAAAGAATTGAAATCTCCAAATAGACAACAAATCCAATGGTTAAATAGTTTCATTAATATTTGAAGACCCAGACAAATCCCAGACTGTCATAAACAGAGTTCAAATCTGCATTTAAAGCTTCTGGGACTTGAGCAGAACACAATACAAAAAAAAAGAAAGGAGCATAAAACAATCTGGCAGCTATTATATGCAATCAGTCGATGGATGTGCGGGGCCTGCGATAATGGATGTTGTAGTTGCCATGGGAATGCCTACGTCGAATATATATTGAAATCCACAGCACTCGAGGGAGCAGCACAGCCAGGAAAAGAGTTGAGCATGGGTTCGGGTTCGGGTTTGGGTTTGGGTTTCGGTATGAGTTTTGGGGGTGGTGTTTTGTTTTGTTTCGGGCAAAGTGGAGTGGAGTTAACCAGAGATGCCAAGTACACCACACCAAGAAAAGAGGGCGGGAAAATGTGTATTTCAAACAATTTCAAGTTGTTTTTGCATCAACGCGCCAGTTTTAAAAGTCAAGGTACAAACAGAAAACTTTTCCGAAAAACTTTTTCAAACTCCATGCAGGGAAATATGATGGCATTATGGAATATGAATGAATGAATATGCGAGAGGGCAGAAAAAGAGCCCACTGAGACAAAATAGGAGTGTTATGGTATCAAATTATATTTGGTAAAATTTTTGAATAATTTTATATTTTAAACCTTCAACTGTATTTATTTATTATTAAAATTTTTGTTTTTTTAATACATTTAATATTTTTTGATAAGATTGTAAAGCATATATCGACGCATTTTCGCAAAAGTATCGTATGTCGATAAATCCAATTTTACAGGAGAAGCTTTTTTGTGCTTTAATCTCTTAGGAAGCACTATGGAAAAGACAAAATTGGAACCTAATTTTTATCAGAACTATAGGGGTTTCAGTTATAATATTTCACAGGGTAGTGAGACATTAGGTGCTTAACAATTTTGCATTAAAATCTCAATTTCGAAAAAAAGCGACATACGATACTTTCGCGAAAATGCGTCGATATAATATTTTTATATTCTTGTAAAAACCTAAAATTTTAAATGAAATAATTCATTTATAACCAAATAATTAATAAATAATTCATAATAATTAGGAGCAAATAAAATATATTCTTTGCCAATAATAAATACGCTAAATAATTATTTATCGTGAAATTCCTAATTTAACATCTAAATTTTTCTGTGTGCAGGCGAAAAAGTGCGCCGCAGAAGGCTCTTTAAATCCTTTTTACATCACATTTAAGTGTTGTTCTCCCTACCTCCTTCCGACACACCTTCTGCTTCTGCCACTCCATCACTCCGCATCACCATCCACCTCTCTCCTTTACCCTTTTCCTTGTGATCCCATTCCCATGGTCGCAGGGATTCTCGCGCGCAAAAAAAAATGCGAGGAGTACCAACATGAAAAGGATAATAAAAAAAAACCAGCGGAATTTCTCATTTAACTGTGTGTGAGTGCGTGTGAGGAGATGCAAGGGGAAGTTAAACGAAGGGACGAAGGGACAAGGGAGACGAGGCATAACGCGACTGTGACAAGCCAGCGAAAATTCGTAGAATGCTGAGGAGAATGCTTTATCTCCTCTTACACACACACCAGCGCACTCACTTTCATTCAAGAAAAGAAGTACATAATAAACATAAAAAGAAAACGAAGCGGGCAGCAAAACAAAGTCGAGGCAAATCACACACACACAAACAAGCTAACTCGCTCCCCTTTCAATTGTCGTGTGTCCAATCGAAATTCTCACTTGTTGGGGAATGGGGCTATAAAGGAGAAGAGAGAGATGGGAGAAAGGCGTGAGCGGGGAATGGGGGATGTGTGTGGGGAGAGAGCGCAACAGCTGCCGGTGGCAACAGTGTTGGATAACGCAGCTTACCTTTCTTCGTTCAGATTTTAATCCGCTAATAATCCAGCCAATTAATTGGCATCGTGGGTGTTTCTATATTTATCCAATGGCAGGAACAATCCATAAGAGGTAATGTTGATGATAATCCACAGAGTATCGAGTTGAGTTTTTTCGACTTAACTCAGCGTTTCATGGCATTTGCCTTGTGCTTCTTTTTCTTCTTCCTCACTTCACTTCACTTCTCGCAGAGAGACACAAACACACACACACTATCATGCGCTCTGCTGGCACTTTCGGCTGCTCTGCTTTCGTGGCCACCTTTATTGTGTATTATGCTTTGCTCTATGTTTTCTGCGCGCACACACACTCGCGCGCGTCGTACATAAGCCAACCGACTGCTGCTAGTGGCATTTGTTTTTGCTGCTGCTGCGGCATTTGTCACACGAGAAACGAGACACAAAGGAAGTAGCTGGCTTGCAGCTTTGTTTTCATTTTCTCACTATTACTTTGGAATTATTTATTTATTTTTAAACCTTAGCCAGCAGTTTTAATTTTAGTGTAAACACGCTTCGCCTTCGGTTCAGTTCACTTTGTTTGTTTAGCGATAAAGCGGAGTCTCGACAACGACCGACCGCACACGTCCGTTTGCTTCGAGATTTATTTTTGAACTGAACGAGACCACGCTGACGTTATGTACTCTGCCCGCCCGCTATTTACTCTCTCTCGCACTCGCGCACAGGCAGGTAGCAGCCAACTACTCTTGCTGGCTGTCTTCGTTTTCTTTTTCGTCGCTCGCACACACGTTGGCCGTCTCGCTCGCTCGGGCCTATCACTGGACGGCTAGACTGCTATCTCGCTCGCGCTCGGTGTCACGACTCTTGCGCTCTCGTTGCGGGGCGTCACTCTCTCAATCGTCGGTTCGCTCTCTGGCAGCACAGCCGCGCTCGTTGACAGTTAGTTTGAAAATGAAACACGCTCTTTGCGGGCTCTGCTTTTTCTGTCGGGCTTCGGGCTCGCTGCCGGCAGCGCAGTCGACGTCGGCGTTGCCGTCGCCTTCTGGCTCTCTGTTTCTTTGTTCGTGTCCGTATGTATTAGCCATAAGAAGAAGAGAAGGCAGCGAGAGGCAAGGGCTGTACATAAGGGGCAGAGGTTTTATGACTCTTTTCGGGTCTTATCCGTGTATATACAAACAGTCGGTACATAAGCCCATTTGCAAGCAAGGTTTGTAAACTGCTTACCTAGCTGTCTACACATATGTACATATGTATTAATCTATGTATGTATGTGGACATTGTAATCGCAAGTTGCAATTTCCGTTAGCAGAAATCGCATATTTGCACGTAGGCGTACATATGTATATATGTATGTATATAAAAACTACCCATAACCCTTCTCGCTCGCTGTCGGTCTTGTTGTTCTTCTCGTTGTTTATTTATTTTCCCTTTTCCCCAATCAGTGGCAACCAACAACAACAATGAGAAAGGCAAACTCCGTTGCCGTCTTGGCGAATTCACAGTTAACGGACGCCACCACACACATTTGCAGATCCAGATCTAAAGTTAAGGTATAGAAGGGAAATGAGAAAGCATGACTGTTACTTCTAAGCAGAGTTTTTTTTATTTTAATTAATTTAAATATTCGTGGGTGTACAAATGCGTTAACTACGGTGTTTTCTTTATATAAAATGAGTTATTGTACATATACTCTTTGAATTTGTATTTTATTTTGTTTTTTGAAAGCATTAACTTTTAAGTTTCTTTCTTAAATATGAAGACTTTTTAAAAGTTTAATAAACCACGTTGAATTCATCTTCTGATGCAGGTCTTTTAGTTATTTAAAAACAAGTACATATCGACGCATTTTCGCGAAAGTATCGTATGTCGAAAAATTCAATTTTACAGGAGAAGCTTTTTTGTGCTTTAATCTCTTAGGAAGCACTATAGAAAAGACAAAATTAAAACTTAATTTTTATCGGAACTATAGGGTTTTCAGTTATAATATTTCACAGGGTAGTGAGACATTAGGTTCCTAACAATTTTGCATTAAAATCTCAATTTCGAAAAAAAGCGACATACGATACTTTCGCGAAAATGCGTCGATATGTATCTTTTAAAGCCTTGTTTTAGAGATTAACACTTATGATATATGTACAAACTCATCCGCAGGTTGAAGCAATTTCATAAATTAATGATTATGTTTAATCAATTGTCCAGCCAAATAATTAATAGTTTAATTAGGGCTTGCTTTATGAGCTGATCAAGCCAATAAAGGTTTGTTAGAACGATAAAGTTCGGATGTATTTAAAACTCAAAAGTTTCTTCCAAATATTTATGTAGTTTCTTGAAATTTTAAACCAATTTTGTTTTAAAATATTAATATTGAAAATATATTATATTAACTATTAAAAAAAAAAAGTAATCCAAATATGATACTATGTTTTTTTGTATAAGAATTTGAAAACATTTTTGCAATGTTGCATAATTTAAAATATGTTTTAATAGAATTTTGTACAATGCCACATTGTTGGTGAGTTAAGAATTACATCATCGTTTATACTTTCGAATGTTTAATATATTTTTAATATAGTATTAAAACTTTAGCAAATATTATTTGTTTGAAAATAAGTTAAAATTGGTATAACTCTATTTGTTACAACATTTAAAAGCACATTTTAGATTCTAGAATCTAGATCGATCAAGTACTTTCTAATAGAGAACTGAATTATTATTCAGAATTTTTTAAGTCTACAATTATACATTTTATTCCTTAATGAATATTGGCTGGTATAAATATGAATAAAATCTTTTTTGATTAACAATATAAATACACCAATAGAAAATATCATCCTTCACAATCTTGAGATCTTAGCATATGTAACATACATAGATGAAATGCATCATCAGTAGCGAAGTTTCCAGAAACCAAACTTATATGGTAGCTATGTACATATTTGGGTTGATAAGAATACATTTTCCAGGTTTTCGATTTAGTTTCCATGACTCATTCAAGGCGCGCAGCTTTGAAGTAAAATAAAATCAGAATAAAATTCTTATCAGAGACGGTGATGAGTAATGCTTTCAAGAGGATTTGTTTATAGGTTTTTAATAAATCATTTGAAAAATAAAAAAGATTAGTAATTTTTCATTTCTAAACCTTGGAATACGAAGAATAACATTGATAATGAAATTAATAAGAAAACAGAAACAATCTTTTTAAGTGTGAATACCATGTATGTATAAATTAATGTACATACATATGTACATACGTACAATGTGTGTAAATACATATGTTTACAGTGCCGAAGCAACCCAGGGGGCAAGGGGTGGCTTTTGCCCCACCACGCGTTTTCTCATTTGAAGTTCGTGCGTAAAATATGCAGGCATTATGATGCCTCAAATTTCTACCTACATACATACATATGTATATAGGCTGTTTAATACTCATGTAATACAGTTTTATTTTTAAATATACGTATCGTAATCTGTAAAACTGAAAATAAAATATGTAATAGTTTAGTCATTAAAAGTTGGTATTTTACTTCTTCCAACACATAGACAATTTAAAGTCAAAGCATCTGTTATATTATATTTTTCACCAACATAATGAACAATCTCTTTGCTGGTATATTTCGAAATTTGTTTTAGAATATATATATATTTTTAAATTTAATTAATGAATTAATTATTATTAATTATTAATTATTAATTATTATTTATTATTTATTAATTATTAATTAAATAATTATTTATAAAAGAATATACATTATAAATAATCCATTTATAAACTGCAATGGTAAATAATATACATACATAGTTAATGCTTGTTTTAATAATATAGTCGTGCGATTTTCATATACCTAATTTAAGCCTAATTTCCAGAATCATAAACAATTTCCTTACCTTTAAGTAAATTAAAATATACTCTATAATTTATATTTTAATATACTAATATAATTTGGACTGTTCCGATTTGTACATATGTATGTATACTACTTGCAATGGAAAGATGAAAATATATTAAAAAATAGCCTAGATATAATTTTTTTCTAAAACTTTGTCGATTATTTGTATGGCAGCTATATGATATAGTCGTCCGATCCGGCCCTTTCTAATACACTGGAAGGGTATAAAAACAAGCATCGCTAACGTTCCAAAAAACAGAAGTATTGTTTGATTTTTTGCTGCGAAGTTTGCAAAGTACTTAAAAAGAAAAAACTTATAGAGTAAAAAAAAATGTAGTTTTTCAATACCCATTAGCAACCATTATTTTATTTATTTTACAATTTTATTACTAATTGGTAACGGTACATCGCAAACGGTACAATTTTTCCATTAGGGTTTTTGATGGAATTTTTGAATGGCATTTTAATAAACATAACTACAATATTATAATTGTAGTACAAATAAAAATAATGAGGAACTCATGTTCTTTTAGACTACATTTTTCTGGCATTTATTTGGCTGGTACTGCTTAATTTTTGTGAATACCGCGTGATATTTTTTTGTTATTGTTTTTCGGCATCTACATATGTAAAAAGTAAGCATAAATAAAAATAAAACCATTTTTTTCTTTCAATTTGAAACAATAAAAAAACATAATTTACCAATAATAAACTAAATAAATTGCCAAAAGCTTACACCGATTGCATTTCAAGTAATGACAAAAAAAAAGTTTTGGGATCGCGAACGATTTAGAAAAGTATTAAGTGCAAGAAACTAAAAAATAATTGTAAATCAACAGCTTGCTAATCTCTCTTTCAATTTTTTTTATCACTTTATTGTTGCTACAAGATGTGAGCAAAAATCGAATTTGTTATAAATAAGAAGCGAAAAGGAAAACCAGTACTTATGGTCGTGAACAGAGAAAAAAGCATACCTGTGAGCTTAGGATTATATATTTATCTATGTACATATATTAAAACAATATAAAATATATTACTATATGTTTTTAGACTTTTAATTTTAGCATTGCGGTAGACTTTTCCTGGACTTTGTCTGAAAATAAATAAGTACATGCGTACGAGGTTTGTTTCAAGTCCTATAAAATTTGTTTAACATACTGAATGAAAAAAAAACCCGACTTTATTTTTAGTTTTCGTACTTATTCCAGATAATAAGAATAACTGTCAAATGGATTTTACATTTCAAATTTAAAGAGAGAAATAATTTTTATTCAAAAAGCATGAAAATGGGTTGGCCAAAATAATAAGTACAGACTTTCTTCTAAGCCTAGAACTCGGAACGTATTAGATATTTTTCACGATTTTCTTCTTATTAGTAAACTTAGATTAGTATCCAATATATCCACCCATATTTTAGGGTATTTTCGCTATTATTTTTGGCATTCTAGCAATAAGTCTGTGGCAAGTCAGTACTAGAAACTGAGACCATGTTTCTTCAGAAACTTAAAACGTCGAATTGTAACCAACACATTTTAAAATGTTGAAGATTTGTTAAGATTTGCTGAAGATATAGATAGATATATTTCTTTAAATCCTTGAATTTCCTCTTATAATTAATCCAGAAAATATCAAAGGTGTTTATTTCTATATACTTCCTATAGACACCACAAATAAAGAAGCTTTTGGCTATAAGAAATTCATGCTTTAATTGGATCCTACATCCAAACACGTACAATATTTTATGAAAAGGGTCGTTAAATCCAATTAGTCGATCCTTCCAATTTTCTCCATCAACTGATAACTTTTGTATTTTCCCGTTTTTTCATTCCCACTTCGGGGGACGTGTGACTCCCCGCTGGTTTTTACTTCTCGTATCGCAATTACATCCAATTTCTCCGCTGAGGAGTATCAATTCTGTTCTCCGGGCAATTAGAACCACTCGAGCTGACGCTAATCCCCGAGCTCCCAGAGCAAAATCATCAGCGTGTGCCAGCTATCATCCGGATTCCGGATCCCCGTAGCACCAACTGGACGCCATCTTAA